CCTCCGATCCGCACCCCGCCCCACGGGAGCACCTCCCACCCCCACGAGGGCACAGCCCCCACGCCTCTCGGAAGACACAAACTCACCTCCCTCTCCCCGTCGAGGCACGGAGACCCCCGCGCGACACGCCCCCTTCACTGTGTCCACGCTCGGATTGCTGTGGGTCTGCCCGCTCGCTGCCTGCGGGAGGGGACGCCTCTCTGCCCCGCGGTACCGGCTCCGGGGCGCCGGGACAGGCCCGCCGGCGCCCCCAGGGGCGGGAAAAGGACCCAGTCCTGCCTGTGCTCGGCAGCCCCAGGGCGGGAGCCCAGACCCAGGCTGGCTCCTGGGGCGACGCCACGCCGGGGGGAGGAGTTGGTGCGCGGGTGGGCCAGCCCTGGGACTTGGGGCCGCTCTGGGGACTCCACCCCTTCTAAGCTGATCTCACTGCCCAGTGAAGGGGGACGGGCAGCGAGGGGCAGGACCCCTGCTGCCCGTGGGGGTGGGGGTTCCCCAACCCTTTCCGTGAAAGGGACCTTGAGGAGCAGATAGGACGTCCCCCCAACACCGACCCTTGGATGGAAGCTAGAGGGTCCCTCCTCACTACTATCTGGGGGGGGAGAAGGGAGGGAGCAGACGCGGGTGAAGAAGGCTGGGGGGCCCTTGTAATTTATTGCTTTGTTCCCCAACATGGGGGTGGGGGCGGGCAGGGGCGTGGGAGGGCGTTTCGGGGTAGGGGAAGCCAAGGGTGGGCAGGGGGCGGGGCGGGGCGGGGGTGCTCTTGGGTTGTGAGTGTCTGTGACCGTGACTGCGTACCTGTGACTGTGCAGCGCCCATGGTGATCTGGGGTGGGGGCACCCCTGCCACGGGACCCCTCCCCCGTCCTCCTGTCCAGCCCGTTTCTTCCACTGGAGCAGCTCCAGACTCATCCCTTGCCCCCATCCCTGCTAGCCAGGGCTGAGAGGATGTGAGGTGGCTGGGAGGGTTTACAGGCCCCCTGTCCCATCCCCAGAGAGGGGTGGTGGGGTGGACTAGCCTGGCCCAGCCCCGCCTCCCTCAGTCCACCAGCCCTCGGGCTGTCTGTGTCAGTGGTTTCTGGTCTTTTTTTTTTTCTTCTGGCTAAAACATTTTGCAAAGGACCAGGTAATTGGGGAGGGGAGTGGGGTGGGGCAGGGGGGAATGCCCCCCTCATCTCCTCGGAGGCAGGTGGTGTGAATCTTCTTCAACAGCCATTAAAGAGGAAGTGATTTTGTCTAGGGGGTGAGCTGCTGGTCTGTTCTTAAAGAGGCAGGTCAGGGTGTGGCCTTGGTCAGGGTGTGGAACTGGGGTGGGAGAGGGCCAGGCAGGGGTGCCTCCCATAGGCCTGGTGGCAGTGCAGTACCCAGGGCTTGGGGGTGGTCGCATGGGGCACAACAGTTCTGGGCTCATGTAGTGGAAGGACTAGAGCAGGTTGGAGCAACACTGAGGACACTGGGAGAGAGAAGTCACTGTCTCTGGTTCCCAGAAAGAGCTGCAAGTGTAGCTTAGAGGAGAGGACAAGCCTAGGAGGGGGCAAAAGGATGTAGTAGCCTTGGCTAAGAGCAGGCACTTTGGAAACAGATGTGATTTTGAAATCTGGCCCTCCACTTTGTATCTTGGTGACAGGCAGGTGGACCTGCTGGCATCTGTGTGTCTTCGGGACATTATCTGTTTAGAGGGTACCTGGTAAGCGCTGCAGCTCTGGGAAGGGCAACCTGAGCACCAGGTATCAAGGTAGAGCTCATGTGAGGGCCCCTTTCCTGGCTTCGGTCATGGAGTGCTCCAGAGGGAAGGGGTGGAAGATCTGGGAGAGATTTCCTAGCTGGCCGCAGAGGTCCCTGGTGTCCACATTCCATGTCAGCTGGTGCAGGCATTTGCCCACCTGTGTGTCATCAAAGGGACCACCAAGGCCACAGCAGCCTGAGGCCAGCGCTGCCCCCACGGGCTACAGCGCCACCAGCGCCGTGAGTACAGCTGAAAGTGTTTGCCCAGGGAGAGGGGCTGCACAAGGGGGTGGGGTGGGGGGTTTGGAACCAGCAGCTATTGCAGGTTGGGCATAGCTGCATGATGTCAACTGCCTTGAGGAATCGTTGGTTTCCTCAAGTAGAGGTTTCCAGCATCTTTGGTTGGAGTTGGGTCCGCCCCTCAGTGCCCACCAGCCCCAAGATGTTCAGCTGCGGGTGTGCCACGGAGCTGACAAGCAATGTGTCGTTACAGCCCAGGGCTGATTCACATCGAGGCTGCTGCCCTGCTGGGGCCTAGGCTGGGTGACCAGCCAGCACAGCAACGTGCCCAAGGGGGAGGGCGGATTTGGGGGTGCAGGTCTAGTGACAGGTACAGAAGCAGGTGTGTGACCTGGGCAAGGCGAGAGGAAGAGGGGGAAATAGCAACAAAGGCTCCACTGAAGACCCAGCCATTCCCTCCTCAGCTTGGAGGCTCTGGACTCCCTGTCTCCACTTCTGCCTCAGAATCATAGGGTGTGGGAGACTATGGGAAGAGAATAAGGCCTGGGAGAGAATGCAGTTGCCCAAGGGCAACTCCCAAGGGGAGTTCCTTTGATTTCCAGCAGTTAAAAACAGTCAAGGTGTCAGCACATCCCACAGCAAATTCCACCACTAAGAAGTCCACTTCCTGTTTTCCTTAATGGGGTGCACCTTTGGTCTGGATGGTAGTGGATGAAGTAACAAAAGAGTAAGTCCTCCAGGTTATGGCATGATGGGACCCTACAAGGGGACTGTCCCTTGCACCCATGCCACCCTCGCAGCCCACCCTGGGCTTCTCGAGTGGGTCCCTGTTGCCATGTACTACTCCTTTCCCCACTCCTCTGGCTGCCATCTGTCACACTCTGCTGCCCGCCTTTGGTTAGCCTTAGCGCAGCTGGGCTGACTGACGTCCATGGAAGTTTTGCCAGAAGCCAAAGGATGGTAAAAGGAATGTATGATTGAGAGTACAAAATGATTAATATAGGCCAGATGTGATGGTTTATGCCCGTAATGCCAGCACTTTGGGAAGCTGAGGCAGGAGGATTACTTGAGCCCAGGAGTTTGTGACCAGTTTGGGCAACATAGCGAGACCTTCTCTCTAAAAGAAAAAAAAAATTAGCCAGTCCTGGTGGCTTGTACCTATAGTCCCAGCTACTTAGAAGGATGAGACAGAAGGGTCACCTGAGCCCAGGAGGTTGAGGCTGCATGAGCCATGACCGTGCCGCTGCACTCCAGCCTGGGTGCAGAATGAGACTCCAACTCAAAAATAAATACATGCACAAATATAACAAGATGGTTACTCTAGCAGAGGTTTCCAGAACTCCATTTTCTGTGGAGACCATCCTCTCAAATCACAGCATAGCCTTCCTGTCCAGCCTCTCCTTTCCCGCCCTAAGAGACTTTACTGTGGTTCTGATTGACTTTTGAGATTCCCTCTGAGACCCTAGCCTCCAAGTAATCCAGTCTCTTCAGAACTCAGGAGCTAGTTAATAAAAGTTAGTGAGTGCTTACACTGGGCCAGGTTCTAGACTAAGAGCACAACACACTACATCTTATCCAATCCCCACAACCTCCATACGAGGCCAGTGCTGTTATCCACCATGTCCTAACAAGGAAACAGCATGGGAAAAGTGAAGTGACTTGTCCAAGGCCCCACTGATGTAGATGAAGGGGGTTTAGACCCAGGATTCTGACTGCGGCAGTTTCTAAGGTGTTGTCCAGCTGAACCCTCCCTCCCTCCCTCTCCTCAAGATGCACAGATGGACCCGGGGAGGCAGGATTTCTAATCCACCATTTGCATTTCAAAATAAAACAATTTAAGCATAAACGTGCACAGTAGGCACTCGTCCACATCCAGCAAGAATACAACTTCCTTCAATAATCGGGTCCCTGGCTTTCCAGTTTTGGAGGCCTGGGTGTTTGGTAACCCCCACCCTTTCTTGTGAGCCAGGAGGAGTCCTCAGCAGAAAGGCTGAGCACCTCAGCATGGAAGGCCAGGGAGGGAGCCTTGGCCCATCTCTTTAAGTTCTCTGTACTGGAAAAGGGAGTCCTGGGGGAGCCCATGGCTGCACTTGGTTGTGAGGAAAAGATGGACACACCAGGCCTCCTACCCTTGGCATACTAATCAGCTGGCACATGTGGGTGCAGCCCCCTCTGGGCATGGCCAGTGGGGGGGGGTTTTCTGGGAGATGCTGACTGGGCAGGTGGGTAAGGGCGTGGTTGGCAAGTGGAATCTGGAGTCAGCACAAGATCCCCGTGGGGGGACTCTGTGGTGGGCATTGGGCTTTCAGGATGTAAGTGGAGGAGAGAACAGGAAGAAAATTGGTGCTGGAGAAGGGCAGGCACAGACCGGACAGAAAAGGAGGGATGGCAGTGCCAGAAGAGTCTCTTTCAGCCCTGGCAGGCCACTGGGCTTGGCTTGGCTGTCCTGGTCTCCTCCTGCAGACTCCAGCCCCACCCATGCCACCAGGGAGGTGGGGAGCAAAGAACATGACCAGAGAGCATGCTCACCACCCTGCAAAGTACCCTAAGCCTCCCCTCCACCCCAAAAGGCTGATGATTGATGGTCCAGTTCTTTATTTAGAAACCTGATTGTTCAAGAACACGGTGGGTGCCTCACCCCTTTTCACTGGGATTGTGTCGGAGGCGATGGCAGCGTCCTCCCATTCCCCAGCAGCAGAGGCGAAGGCTCCTCAACTCCGAAGCACAGATTGTAGGGGGCAGTGGACAGGGAGAGGAAGAAGGAACTCCCAGGGGTGCCGGGGGCGGGGCAGAGGGTCTCCCAAGGGCATGGGGGCGTGCGTTCTTGTGGCCTGCTAAGCTGCCGGCTCCCCTTCTCCGGCTTCCCTCTCACAAGGGCTTCTTCAGGAGCTTGTGTTGGGGGCGATAACAGGAACAGGCAGGGAGGAAAGGGAGGGGTCTGGGGAGGGGCCTGGGAAGTAAAAGCCACAGGCCCTGAGGTCTCCAGGTGGCTCTGGGCAGTGAGCAGCTCTCAGCCCCAGGGGCCTCCATGCCCACCCTGAGGCCCACGGCTCAGCCCACTGGCCGTTGTGCCTTCAGGGACCCGGGGTGGGGAGATGGGGCAGAGGCAGGCCAATCTAGGAAGACGCTGGCCTCCTTGGAGGGCCAGTTGTGAGGCAGTCTCAGAAGTCAAACTCGTCCAAGTCCCCGGTGTCCTCGCCACTGGGAGATCCCCACACCCGGCGGTAGTTGCTCTCCAGCTCCTTCTGCCGCCGGCGCTCCTTCTGGGCCTCTTCCGCACCCTGCACCTGTGGGAAGGGGGCTGGAGTCGCAGGCAGCCAGCCAGGGGAAGCTCTGGGTGCTCGAGGACCCAGAGAGGCCCCAGGACTGACAGCTGGGGAGGCAGGGCTTGAGCCCCAGGACTGACAGCTGGGGGGGCAGGGTTTGAGCCCCAGGACTGACAGCCGGGGGGGGGCAGGGCTTGAGCCCCAGAACTGACAGCCGGGGGGGCAGGGCTTAAGCCCCAGGACTGACAGCCAGGGAAGACAGGGCTTGAACCCCAGAACTGACAGCCGGGGGGGGCAGGGTTTGAGCCCCAGGACTGACAGCCGGCGGGGGGCAGGGCTTGAGCCCCAGGACACCAGCCTCGTCTTACCCATGAGGAAACACCTGCTTAGCGGTTGGCAAGGCCGGGCACCCGTGTGCCCACAGCAGGGCGGCCAGGGGAGGGCATGCTGGAGACTCACCAAGATGTTGAAGAAGATCTCCTTGAGGCTTCTGGTGTCCTCGTCCGTCAGCCAGCGCGCATCCTCTTCGGTGCCCTCAGCCCCGGGCCGGACGATCTTGATCTCGATTTTCCCTGGCAAGGAGAGCAGGGGGGTGAGGGCCGGGGGTGTGGGAGCTTCAGGGCAGGCCCTCTGCCCCCAGGCCCCAGCCCTCCGCCTGGGCGGCGCCCCTTCCACAGTCGAACAGCCGCCCTCCAGGGCCCACCTGCGGCCGTGAGCCCCTCCCTCTCCAGCAGCTCCTTCACCAGCCCCTCGATTTGTTTCAGCTGTGGGTTTTCCCGTTTCATCTCGAGGACAGTCAGATCCCGATTGGGGCCTCCGTGACGGAGCTTGGTGACCCGGACCCGGACTCTGTGCTCAGGATCCTCCTCTTAGAGGGGGAGACACACAGGGAGACACAAAGCAGAGCCGTGACTCCAGAGTTCAGGCTGCACCGGTCACCTCCCCATAGCCGTCGCTGGGCTTGGCAGCTGTTCCGTCTCAGCACGTGTATGAGCCAGGACTCAAACACACTCATGCCCCTGCTTCCCCCTGATACCAGCCTACAGTGTGCCCTCCCCCATGCCACCTTCCTTCTTCCCACCCTACCCAGTACTTCTGCCCTTGACCTATAGAAAACGACTGTTTTCTGAAGCAAAAATCAGGCCACCTGCATTAGCAAGGGAGTTTTGTTTAAGCAGCAGGTTGGAAAACTGTGGTCTGGTCCTCTGCATGTCAGTACTTTAAAGACATTTCAATGTTTGTAGAGAGAGTGGGACACAAGGTTTGAAGCCGGAACATTCCATTTGGAATGTCAGCTGGTCACACCCATAGAACCCTGTGGAATAGACAGAAGGGACTGTGAGAGGAAGAAATAACTTCAAGCCTATCGAGGCGACTGGCTCTTGTGCATCTGGGCTTGCCTGGTCCCACCCAATGGCTGGGGCCTCTTCTGGTGCAAAGCACTAATTGTTGACAGGCTGCATCCTTCCCAGATATGTCATTTTCGGCATATAGGCACACAGTCATTCAGTGACTATCTAGTGATCACCCACTGTATGCCAGGCAGAGTGCTAGGCACTCGGTGTGCAGGGGCAAACCAGAGAACAAGCCAGACATGCCCGGAAAGCTGCTTTCCAAAAGGACGAGGTGGGGTGACCATGCAAAGGGGAGACAGTGGTGGGAAGAGGCAACGGTAAGAAGAGTGTTCCAGAAGGAGGGAAGACAGCAAGTGCCCCCAGGAGGGAGGGAACAGGTGCCCCTGGGAACAAGGCCAGCCAAGGAAGAAGAGAGCCAACCAGTCGCTCCCTCTCGCCTGACTGCTCTCACCTGTGGGTTGGGGTGACGGGGGAGGCTTTTGGGGGACAACTCTCCTCTTCCTTTGCTTCTTTGCCAGTCCGGGGCTCTGTTTTTCCTCCAGCCTTTTGATGAGCTTGCTGACAGTGGATGTCAGAGCTAGTATGGCCCGTTCACGCTCTGACTCCTTCTTCAGCCCGTCTGGGTCCAGCTCCTTCTCGGTCTGGAATACCCAAGAGGGGGTGCAGAGTCAAGGGATGGGGGTGGAGGGCCCGTGGGCCAGGCTCCACGGAGGAGTCTGATCTTCATGTCTCTCATCTCATCCCCTTCACCAGCCTCCCCCTTTTTTTTGAGTTGGAGTCTCACTCTGTCGCCCGGACTGGAGTGCAGTGGCCGCTCCCGGCCACCACTGGGCTGGTGGGCTCCGGCGATCCTTCCGCCTCAGCCTTCCGAGTAGCCGGAACTACAGGTGCGTGCTACCACGCCCAGCTAATTTTCGGTTTATTATAGAGATGAGGTCTCGCCAACTTGCCCGGGTGGGTCTTGAGCCCACGGGCTCAGGCAAACCACTCGCCTCGGCCTCCCAAAGTGTGGGATTACAGGCTGAGCCACCGAGCCTGGCCACCAGCCCCCTTTTAACTAAGGAAACAACCACATTTCCGAGGGGCCGTCCTCGCCCATGCTGTGTCCTCTGTTTTCTTCCAGTCTCTCCCCAGCCCCTCGCAGGAACAGGCCGCAGGGAAGTCCCCGGAAGGTGCAGGAGCCGGGCTTGCCTCTTGGATGATGTTTTCCAGCTCGCGTTCCATGCCAGCCTTCACCTCTGAGCGGAGCCGGTCTCGGTCTGATGGGAGCAGGATGCCTTCCAGCTCCTTCTCAAATTCTCCCAGGAACTGCCGTTCATCCTCATCGTCTTCATCGTCATCGTCGTCTTCATCCTCCTCTTCCTCCACCTCACTCTGCTGCTCTACATGTCCCTTTTCCTTGGCCTCTGGCTCCCTCTGAGGGACGTCCGAGTCGTCATCTGCAGGCTGCTCCTGGCCTGCGCCGGGCTTCCCCTGGGCAGGGATTGGGGAGAAAGAGGTAGGCAGTTGGTGTTTCAGTAGAGACACCTGGTGGGGGAAAGACAGACGGGCAGGGGTGTGACAGTGGGGGGACTCGGGAGTGAAGGCAGGGAGCTGCCCCATGGGCCCAGTTCAGGCCCAGGTCAGGGGGTTTATCCATTGTCCCAGCTGGGAGGTGGGCTCCACCCCCTCCACCCAACCTCTGGAGCAGGACCCATACCTTTTTTGTTCCACCTTTCAGCTCCTCAATCAATCGAATCAAATCTGCAGGACTCCGAATGACTTTGACCTGTACATTGTTCTGAAAATCTGAGATGAAAGAATAATCATGGGCCTGTTTTGGTCTACATTTTCTTTTTTCTTTGTGAGTTGGAGTCTCACTCTGTCGCCCAGGCTGGAGTGCAGTGGCACACTCACAGTCACCACAGCCTCAACCAGCTGGGCTCAGGTGATCCTTCCACTTTAGCTTTCCAAGTAGCTGGAACAACAGGCATGTGCCACCATGCCCAGCTAATTTTTTAATTTACTGTAGAGACGAGGTCTTGCCATGTTGACCAGGGTGGTCTCAAACCCATGGACTCTGGCATTCCTCTCGCCTCTGCCTTCCAAAGTGCTGGAATTACAGTTGTGAGCCACTGTACTCGGCTCTTTTTTTTCTTTTAGAGATGGAGTCTTGCTACGTTGCCAAGTTTGGTCAAGAACCCCTAGACTCAAGCAATCTTACTGCCTCAGTGTCCCGAGTAGCTGGCACCACAGGCATGAGCCACCATATCCCTAAACTCCCTTTTAATTCCTAAGGAGAGGTCATGAGAGACGAGACCAAGGAGGGACATGGGCCCCACCTCTGGGAGCTGCCTGTCTGGTCAGCCAGATGGGGCAAACAAAACCCCAGAGAGGGTGCTGTCTGAGGCGGACACACAGTAGGGATGCCAACACGATGCTATGTCCCTGCTCCTCCATGCACTTCCAAGGCCCCCTGGCAGTCACTCCAGTTTTCAGGACCATGAGGAGATTCTGGAGCCAACAGCTCTTCTTCCCTGGATCCTCTTCTCCTCTTTCCACAAATATTACCCACCTACTGTCTACTCAGTTCCAGTATTCTACTACCAATTACTGATACATTCTCTTTAATCCTGCAACAACCTCTAAGTTAGAGACTACTACCCACATTTTATAGAGAAGAAATTTTATTTTGGGGTCGAGGCCTCACTGTCACCTAGGCTGGAGTGCAGTGGCACAATCACGGTTCACTGTAGCCTTGATCTCCTGGGTTCAAGTAAGCCTTGTACCTCAGCCTCGCGAGTGGCAGGGACTATAGGTGCGTACCACCAGCCTGGCTAATTTTATTTGTTGCCAAGATGAGGTCTCGCTATGTTGCCCAGGCTGGTCTCAAACCTCAAAATGCTGGGTTTATAGGCATGAGCTATCAGGCTGGCTGGAAAGGAAATTGAGGCGAAGCACAATTGTCCAGGATTACGAAGTCAGCAAGTGGCAAAGACAGTGTTCTGCTACCTTCCCAAAATAGCATTGCTGTCTACGAAGAGTATTAACTCCTGTAAACACAAATTCACTGCTGGCCTGGCTGCTCAGCCTCCTTCCCAGTGTTTACTCTACCTTCTGCCCCCACCGCTGCCAATCCTAAAATACATCAGTACAGGGGACAGGGAGGGCTGACTCACCACTGGGAGGGCCCGGAGCTGGCTCTGCTGCCTCAGGGTTTAGGACCTGTTCCTGCTGTGCAGAGAAGAGCAGAGTTAAGTGGGAAGTGTGCTTATGCCCACCAACTCTCCAGGCAACAGTTCTGGGGGTGTCCTCGTATACCTGGATACATGTAGGTCACCTCAGTTCTTGTGACCCTCCCCACCCCAAGCACAGGTCCAACATCCTCAGAGAAGCGACTCTCACCTCTGCCTGTGCCTCCTCCCCTCCTGGGGCCTGGTCCTCAGGCTCATGCAGCATCTTCCAGAAATCGGATTCCTTACCGTCATCCTTGGCTGGGCTTGCACCTGGGGTAGAGAGCAAGGAGCGATCCAAAGGGAGGAACAAGCAGAAGGGGACACATCCCTGCCCTATGATAAGGGACTGGGGTCCATGGTGCCCCTCTACCCCGCCCCAGTCATACAGGACAGTAAGAAAGAAACAGAGGCAAGTTTCACAGAACAGGGGAGCTTGTCCTACCTCTCTTTGGAGGAAGCGCCCCAGACTTGGTCTCACTCCACATTTGGGGGTCCAGGCCTTGAAGCTCCTCTATGATTTTATCTCCGTACTGCTTGGAGTCTACTGAAAAGCAGCAGGTGCAGGAGAGACACATCGCTCTGGGCTACTCACCGCCTCGCCTTCCACCTGGCCCTCCCATCTCTCCGCCCTCTCCTCCTCTGGGTACCCACCAGCTTGGCTCTGAAGGTAAGCCATGTACTCCTCAGGCTGCAGGGACGGGTGGCAGAGGATGGCCTGGGGCGCAGCACTGGGTGGGGGCCGGAGCAGAGGGTGAGGGCAGAGCCGGGGAGTGCGGATGGTCAGCACGTATGAGCAGGACAAGGGCTCATCCACGCGGTCGATGTAATCCCCAGAAATCCCTGCACCCTCGTCACAGAGGAACTGCCAGGACAGAAGGGCAAGGCGTTGTAGTTGCCAATCACGAGTTGTAGTTCTCAGAGCAGCTTTTTTGTTAAGCACTTACTATGTGTCTGGCTCTGTGTCTGCACTGGGTATACAGCACTTTACATAAATCAGCTTCCTTGCTGGGCTCAGTGGCTCAAGCCTGTAATCCCAGCACTTCAGGAGACCCAGGTGAGAAGACTGCCTGAGCCCAGAGGTTCGAGACCAGCCTGGGCAACTTGGTGAGACCTTGTCTCTACAATATATCAAAAAATTAGCCAGGCATGGTAGCGCATGCCTGTAGTTCAGCTATATGGAAGGCTGAGGCAGAAGGATCGCCTGAGCCTAGCAGGTTGAGGCTGTGGTGGCCATGAGTGTGCCATTGTCCTCCAGCCTGGGTGACAGAGTGAGACTCCAACCCAAAAAGGAAAAAAAAAATCAGCTCCCTTAAATATCGCTTAACCCAGGGAGGGAGACATTGGTGTCTCAACTCTGTGGCTCAAGAAACTTGGGTTGGATGCAGGTAAGTCACTTGCTCAGTCTGACCAGTTGACAAGAGGTAAAAAGAGGAACCCAACTCAGGCAGCTTAATGGAGGTAACCAAATTTTGTTTCACATTATTGCTTTATATAAATATGTTATATAGATATATATACATATATATATATTCTTTGTGTGTATGTGTGTTGGAGTCTTTGTCACCCAGGCTGGAATGCAGTGGCATGCTCCCGGCCACCACAGCCTCGACCTGCTGGGCTCAGGTGATCCTTCCGCCTCAGCCTTCCAAGTAGCTGGAACCACAGGCATGTGCTACCACGCCCAGCTAATTTTTTTATTTATTGTAGAGACAAGGTTCAGGCTGGTCTCGATATATATTCCTTTAAAATATGTATATATGAGCTGGGCTCGGTGGCTCAGCCTGTAATCTCGTGCCTTTGGGAGGCTGAGGTGAGTGGATTGCCTGAGCCCGCGGGTTTGAGACCCGTCTGGGCAACTTGGCGAGACCTCATCTCTACAATAAATCCAAATGAGCCGGGTGTGGTCACGC